ACTCAGTTCACCTTCTGTCCTAGCAGGAACAATGGCTTTTCCTGACTGGTCTTCAACCCAAACTGGTTCTTACTGTTGGATGTTTCAGCCCAGCCATGGCTCGTCCATACCCCCATACAGCTCACACATGGTTCAATAGGGGTTGAAACCTAGCCTAGTCCATCCCACATCTCCCTTGGTCCTCCAGAGCACCAGAAGGTGTTGCAGTCTGGCCTGGCTTGGTGCATCCAATCCCAGTCCGCACTTATGCCAAGGGAGACTACAACTGTTTTCTGATCAGAACGCAACCCCCATTCCAGTTCACGCACCCCTTGATGAGAACCTCAACCCAGCTAAGTTTGTCCCCTTAGCTCCCCAATCAGGCCAGTTCCCAGCCATAGATCACACACATGCCAGTGGTTGCTCTGATTCAGCTTGGCTCAGCCTCTCACCTGTCCTGATCTCTGCCTTAGACACTGTGGTTTAGCATTCCTGGCTCACTCAGACCAGGAAGTGTAAGAGCCTAGCTCGCCGTGACCTGTGCTCCCTCCTGGTTTCTAGTTTTGCTTGTGAGCTAAGGTTTGCTCAGTCCTGCCTGGTCCACCCTGTTCCATTACCAATTGACACATTACAGAGCTGTTGGAGCTACTTTACCCGGCTTGTGCGACCCCCAGGTCTGGACCACGTATTCATAACAGGAACTATGACTCACCAGGGGAGTTTCCCAAGTCCCTCCACTTAATCCACTCCCAGACCAGTTCTCCTACATCATGTTTTAGCTGTTCTGCTTTCTGTCCAACATCCTGCTTTCGTCCAGGAAAAGCAGGAAAGGATGGCCCAAAGTCTTGGGACCCTGCACCCATCTGGTAGACCTGGAAGAAGCTCCTGCCTCCTGGCTTTGGATTGGCTCATCACTGGTCATTATAGCCACTTGGGGAGTGAGCCAGCAGATGGAAGGTCTTTTTCTCTGTATCTTCTCTCTGTAAATCTGCCTATCCAATTAAAAATAATTTTTTAAAAATCACAACATCAACGAAAGAACTAGAAGACATAAAACAATGGAAAAAGTATGCCAAGATCCAGGATTTGAAGAGTTAATATGATCAAATCATCCATGGTGCTTCAAGCAACTGCAGATTCAATTTGATCCCAATAAATAGATGGAGGGCTTTGTTCACAGAGACACAAGATCAAATAAAACTCCAGATTAGCAGGAGGTGAGAAATAGAGTCAGAGTCACATGAGTGAAAATGAAACCAAGACAAATGTGAATGATTAACCAAAATAAAAGCTGCTTTAAAAAAAAAAATAAGATAGGCAAATATTTAGCCAGACTAACAGCAACAACAAAATCTTTAAAAACCTCAAATAATTAAAATTAGAAATTAAAAAGGAGACATTAATGGCCCAGCACATTGCCTCACTGGCTAATCCTCTACCTCCAAGCACCTCCTTCCATATAGGAGCTTGTTCGTGTTCCAGCTGCTCCACCTCCCATCCAGCTCCCTGCTTGTGACTTGGGAAAGCAGAGGAGGATGGCTCAAAGCCTTGGGACCCTGCACCTGAGTGGGAGAGTAAGACGTGGCTCCTGGCTCTTAGCTTCACATCAGCTCAGCTATGGCCATTAAGGCACTTTGGAAGTGAAGCAGTTGATGGAAGTTATTTCTTTCTGATTCTCTTTTTATTCTGTAAAATCTGCATTTCCAATGAAAGAAAATCTTAAAACAAACACACAAATAAAACCAGAAGAACCTGGTGCTGTACCCAAGCGGCTAATGTCCTCACTGTAAGGACTTATTCCAATATCCCACCCTGGACCCTGCGCCATTTCTTCTTCCTCACAGCTCACAGAATTCGCGCCAGTCCAGCCCTCCACCAATCAGATGTAACCTGGCATTCCACCTGAGAATCCCACCCCCAATCTCCCAGCCCCTTCCCCAACCCCGCTCACTCACCAATCATCCCCAGGCATTCACCTGCAGGCACCAATCCCCTGGGGCCTTGACCTCAATCCTTCCGAATCCCCGCCCTCCACACCTGGCAGACAAAAAAAGGCCCCCAGATGGGGTTCTCTCTCTCTTGCTCTCTCTTCTCGGTTCCTCCCCCCGCTCTTCCTCTCTCCTCCTTCTTACCTCCCTTCCCTCCCCTTCCCTTGTTCCTGCCCCACTCGGTTTTCTTTCTCTCTCTCTCTCTCTCTCTCTCTCTCTCTCTCTCTCTCTTTTTCCTTGCTCTCACCCTCGTCCCCCTTTCCCCTTCCCCTTCCCCTATTCCTGCCCCGCTGGGATAAACTTCCTAAGATACCTCGTTGCGTCTGGTGTTTTCAGCTCACGGTAAAGAACCAGGTTACGAGAATTAGCTGCGCATAAAGTATCTTAATATCGTATGACCTAGAACTAGAACTCTTACACTGCTTTAAATAACTAACACTCACCTTGCATGACCAGAATCCCATATGGCCATCAGTTCATGTCCTGTTGGCCCCACTTTCCATCCAGCTCCCTACATGTGGCCTGGGAAAGCAGTCAAGGACAGCAAAAGATCTTGGGACTCTGCACCCATGTATGAGACCTGGAAGATGATCCTGGCTCCTAGCTTCAGATTGGCTCAGTTTCGATAATTGTGGTCACTTGAGAAATGAATCAGTGGACAGAAGATCTTCCTCTCTGTCTCTCCTCCTCTCTGTATATCTGACATTTACTGAAAAGAGAGAGAGAGAAGGAGCCATTACTGGTAATTCCCTAGAAACACAAAGAAACTGCTGTGATGATACCCTTTTGGGCGCTGGTTCTAATAGTCTGACATCTCCACTTCTAATCTAGCTCCCTGCTGATGGCCAAGGAAAGTAGCAGAATGAATTATATAATATATAATATATAAAAAGTACAATCTAAATATTAAATTAGAGACTGCCATCCCAGCCCCACAGTTCTCAATGGCCACAGGGCAACAGAGGAGGCTGAATACTTCGCTCCTCTGCAGTTGTGGCTGAGCTAACACATGAGGGCCCTGGCAGGGCTGACTCAGCAGCTGCTCTTTGCTTCACTACCTTCACATCTGGTCAGGGCTGTCATCTCCATAACAATGCTGGTCACAGCATCTAAACACCTGCACTCCTCACAGGTGGCTGGGACAAAGGACAGCAGATGGGCAAGCAGCAGACAGACTGCCCAGGCTGGGAAGGAGTGAACAGAGGGATAAGGCTTGGAGAGCTCCCACCTTCACTGAGGAACCTAGGAGCCCACAGGCTCCCCAGGGATAAATGAGCACTCCAAACCTGGGGACCTGGGGCTGCAACCACTGGCTGAGCTTGAGGCTCTGTCTGTTACAAGAAACTGATCCTGGTCAGCAGTGCCAAGTCAGCATAGAGTACACGTCTGAGGATGAAGGAAAGAGAAAGGTTCCCAGATATCAGCACAGCTCCTCGAAAATGAGGACATAGTAGGATGTGGGACACAGCTAAAGAGCAACAGGCATTCATTGGATAATATGAAAGCAGCAAAGATTGTGTAAGGGATGGGAACCTGTCCCAGGAAAACGGGTTTGCTGCAGCTACTTAAGCTCCTGCATGTGAAGCCTACATCCCAGAGCAGAGAGCTGGTTCACATTCTGACCTGCTTCTTCTGATCCAGCTCCTTGCTGCAGTGTCTGGGAAAGCAGCAGAAGACAGCCCAATCATTGGGCACCTGAAAGCTATGTGGGAAACCCATTGAGAGTTCTGAGTTCCTGGATTCAGTTTGGAACAGTACTAGCTTTTATAACCACTTATGGATTGTACAGCACATGGATAGTTCTCTCTCTCTCTCTCTCTCTTTCTCTCTCTCTCTCTCTCCACTCTTCTCTCAAATAAATTACTTGTTTAAAACTATCTCAGCATGATATCTTAAGTGGGGTATCTATCTGAGGTAAGAGGGTGAGGATCCCAGGGCGCTCACAGCTGGAATTGGTACCCTTCTACTGCGGGTCAGGCTGAGGGGATTTCCCTCTCACCTTCATCTGCATTAACAACAAGGTTAGTGAAAGTAGAATCAGCTGGACTCCCAAAAGCCCAGGATGTGTGATGCTGGCCTTGCAAGTGGCACTTATCTCACAGCACCACAACAAAGGCTGTGAGATGAGAGAGAGAGAGAGAGAGAGAGAGAGAGAGAGAGAGAGAGAGAGAAAGAGGTGGGGGTTGCAAGGCGGGTGGGGCAAGGATTGGGAGGGATTGAGCTTAGTCTCCCATGACTTCCTCAGGATGATTGGTAAGTGGACGGGGCTGGGAGACAGGCTGGGAGCTGGGTGGTGGCTGGGAGCTGGGTGGTGGGTGGTAGGATTAGGTGAAATGCCAGGTTACATCTGATTGGTGGACGAATGGAACAGAGTTTATTTTGTGAGGAGAAAAATGAGCCGGGTCCAAGGAGGAATGTTAGAATCACTCCTTACAAGGGGACCACAGGGAGAAGAGAAAATGACAGGGGGAGTGCTGAAAGGAGGTGAGGACAGGGCCCCAGAGTTCAAGACTCTAAAGCAGCAGGTGCCCAGAGTCCTGAACTCCGTGGTCTGTGTCCTGGTTTTTACAGAAATGTCCACAGAGCTTCACTGGGATCCCAGCATGCAGCATTTAATGCATCCTGCGGGGCTGCCTGACATCTAATGTACTCCTGATGTGGATCAAGTTGAACAATAAAACACGCACAGGCCTAGGCATAAATAATCATAAAAATAGGCAAATAGAAATGGGCACAACCTGATCAGGTCTCTCAGGATCCCTCAGCCAGCCCCGGGCCTATCCTCAGGAGGGGACATCACACAGGCCTGGGCAGCCGGGCACAGGGTCAGGGCACAGTCCCTGGTACCCGCCTGGCCCTCAGGGTCTCAGTCCCAGGGCGGGTCTGGGCCAGGGAAACAAGTGCAGGGGAGTCCCCACCTCCTCCAGGGTCACTACCCCTCTCACAGCCTTAGTGAGCTCCTTCGGCCCGGATACACGTGATGAGGACATAACTCGCACTCCTATTGAGCAAGCGGCTTCCAGAGGAGCCAACCTGCTGCTTGAAAATTTTCCCCCCTCATCGCGGGAACGCCCATAATCAGAGTCAACTTAACTGCAAAAATGAGGTCCCTGCTACCCAGGACCCTCCTGCTGCTGCTCGCGGGGGCCCTGGCCCTGACCGAGACCCGGGCGGGTGAGTGCGGGTCGGGAGGGAGACGGGCTCTGCGGGGCAGGAGCGAGGGGAGCGCGGAGGGGACACAGGACCCCGGGGAGCCGCCTCAGTCCCGCCCTTACCTTCCCCATGGTAACTTTACTGTTTAGCAAGCCGAAGGACTCTTCCTTCCCTGCCGCCCCAAGCGAACTTAGACCCGGAGTATGATTCCGGATGGGGGTCTGGGGGTCGTCCCTGGTTTCAGCCCCTCTCTCCCCCAGGCTCCCACTCCCTGATGTATTTCATCACCGGCGTGTCCCGGCCCGGCCTCGGGAAGCCCCGCTTCATCGCCGTGGGCTACGTGGACGACACGCAGTTCGGGCGCTTCGACAGCGACGCTGAGAACCCGAAGGCAGAACCGAGGGCGCCGTGGATGCAGCAAGTGGAGCAGGAGTACGTGGACAACCACACACAGCGTGGTAAAGAAGCGACACGCTCTAACATTGTGTACCTGAACACCCTGCGCAGCTACTACAACCAGAGCGAAGCCGGTGAGTGACCCGACCCTCCCCACGTGCGCCCAGGACGCTCCGGGTCCCCGGGGCCGAGGTCCCCCCACCCCGAGACTGCGCGCACCAAGAAACCTTTGGCGGGAAGAGCCCGCAGGTTTCATTTTCGGTTTCCACTGAAATCCAAGCGGGTCGGTGAGGGCGGGGGCGGAGCTGCGAGGGCGGGGCTGACCGCGGGCGGCGATAGTCTCACACACTCCAGAAGCTGTACGGCTGCGAAGTAGGGGCAGATGGACGCCTCCTCCTCGGGTACTGGCAGTGGGCTTATGATGGCGCTGACTACATTGCCCTAAATGAGGACCTGCGCACCTGGACTGCAGCTGACGCAGCAGCTCAGATCAGCAAGCACAAGTGGGAGACTAGAAGTCATGCTGAGGACATCAGAGCCTATCTGGAGGGGGAGTGTGTGAAGTCTCTGCGCAGATTCCTGGAGTTGGGGAAGGAGACGCTACAGCGCACAGGTGTGCAAGGCTAGTGGGGCCAGCCCTCACCCACCTCCCCTAGGGCTGGGGCTGTGGAGGAGGGGAGGAAAGTGGGACCCAGGACTGTGTCCCTCTCTCCTTACAGTTACAGCTTGGATGTCCTCCCTTCCCTCAGTATAGAAGAGGGACCTGGGTTGTGCAGGCATAGAAGATTCTGAAAGGAATCCTCTTGGTGCCCTGGACTCCCGCTGGGTCCTGTGAGCTGTGACCCCTCCCAGGCCTGTCCTCAACCTCAAGCCAATGCACTGGGAAGATTCAGGGTTCTCAGTCTCTGCCTCCACTTAAGACCACATCCCTTTCAATCCCTTCAGAGACCCGGGTCCTCCCAGCCTGAACCATACCTGATCCTATATCTTTGCAGACAACAGATGATCCCATTGTCTTTATCCAGGCCAGGTCTGAGCTTGCAATGCTCCCTCACCCCAGTCCTCCTGTCTATTCTAAGGATGGACACTAAGTGCAGCTTTGGTGGCACATGAAGAACATTAAAGGCCTGAATTGTCCAAATTTTCCCTCAGACCCACCCACAGCACATGTGACCCACCACCCAGTCTCTGACCAGAAGGCCACCCTGAGGTGCTGGGCCCTCGGCTTCTACCCCAAGGACATCACACTCACCTGGCAACGAGATGGGGAAGACCTGACCCAGGACCTGGAGATGGTAGAAACCAGGCCTGCGGGGGATGGAACCTTCCAGAAGTGGGCAGCTGTGCTGGTGCCTTCTGGAGAGGAGCAGAGATACACGTGCCAGGTGGAGCATGAGGGGCTGCCTGAGCCCATCACCCTGAGTTGGGGTAAGAAGGACAGAAACTGGCAGAGCCTTCAGCAGGGTTGGGTCCGAAACCAGGGTGTCAGAGCCCCTCACCCTTCCTTCCCCTCTCAGAGCCTCCTCACCCCACGGTGCCCGTGTGGGGAGTCATCGCTGGCCTGGTTCTCCTGGCAGCTGTGCTCATTGGAGTTTGGTTGCTGCTGTGACGATATGAAATGCTCAGGTAGGGCAGGGTGAGGGCTGGGTCTGAGTCCTCTGTCCCACAGGGAGAATATCTGTCACCCCATTCCTGGGAAGCACCATGCACACACAACTGCACCCACAGCCTGGCCCAATGTGCAACACACTGGCTCTAGTATGAAACACAAGTGAAGTTTGGGATGAATACTCCATGAGGATGACTCTAATCACCAGGACCTGAGTTCCAGCAATCCTTTTCAGGGGGAGGTCCCAGCTGAGGACACACCTCTAGGACAGGCACCTCCTCATCCTTTCCTGGTTCTGTAGCCACAGTTCTGGAATCTCTATGAAATGACCCAGTCCTCTGGGTTTCCTCTAGGCAGGTCCTCAGACCCTGCCTTCTCCCTGCCTCTCACTACTTGTTTTCTCTCCCAGGTAGGAAAGGAAGGAGCTACACCAAGGCTGCAGATAGGCACTGGGGTGTTTTTGGGGGTGGGGGAGTCCCAGGACACTTGCCATGGTCACATGCCCATGGGGAGGCTGCCCCACCAACCCTTAGCTCCTCCCTCAGCCACACACCCAGGGCTCTCACCAAGTCCTGATTGGTTCTCCCAGGTGGGGACAGTGCCCAGGGCTCTGACTGCTCTCTCACAGCTTGAAAGGGGAGACCTAAAGGGTCTATAGGGGAAATTGGGTGGTTCTGAGGGGAAACTGAGGGGCTGGGGGATTACTTGCATTTGCACATTTTCATGTGTGCTGAGCTGTCCCTGTTTCCGTGTGCAGTGACCTGAATTTGTCACCTTGTTTTTATAGCATGAGACAATTGCTTTGTATCAGACAGAGGGATAGAACCTTGCTCAAGTCCTCATCCTTGTGTCTTCAAAAAGCCCCACCCTCCTGATGATATTTTGCCAGCCCTACTTTCAGACCAGCAATGGTTTCCCAATGAAACTGTTGAATTTGAGGGGTTGGGAGAATCCCAGAGCCTATACAACTTTGTATAAAATGAAATAAATGTAGTTTTTTTTAAAAAATCTGTCTTTCCAATAAAGATAAATAATAATTAAAGAAGCACCATGGGGCCGGCAGTGTGGCCTAGTGGCTAAAGTCCTTGTCTTGAACGTGCCGGGATCCCACATGGGCCCCGGTTCTATCCCAGCAGCCCAGCTTCCCATCCAGCTCCCTACATGTGGCCTGGGAAAGCAGTCGAGGACAGCAAAAGATCTTGGGACTCTGCACCCATGTATGAGACCTGGAAGATGATCCTGGCTCCTAGCTTCAGATTGGCTCAGTTTCGATAATTGTGGTCACTTGAGAAATGAATCAGTGGACATAAGATCTTCCTCTCTGTCTCTCCTCCTCTCTGTATATCTGAATTTGTAATAAAAACAAATAAATATTTTTTAATTAAAAATATTAAAAATAAAGAAGCACCATGAACCTTCCAGAAGGCATGTGTTTGCTGTGTTGAGTTGGCTGCAGGAAGGGACAGGAGAGGCTGTGAGGCCCTGCATGAGTACGGGGCTGTCCCCAGTCTGTGCTCAGTCCATCAGGCTTTGCCATTGTCACCTATGACCTGACCCAGCTGCCTCAGTGTCCTGATCTCTCTAGTAAGATGTGCCCACCAACACTTGCCATCACAGGACTCACAGAAGCCAGCCTGCCCTATCTCATGGACCCAAACAGTGGATGCTGCCCGAGGCCAAGACAGTCAAAGCTCAGGCTTACATTCAGCACTTGCTCCTGTCTTTCTGTGTTCATTCTGTTCCTTAGTATTGTTGACTGATTGCACCTGCTCTTCCTGTGTGTGAGCTCTGGTGGCCTTCACCTCTGTGTGTGCAGGAGGCAGTGTGGGAGGGAGGGAAGGAGGGCAAGACAACAGAGGACACTTGTGAGAAAGCACAGGCTGCATGGACACAAGTGGAAGAGGACGCCGCTCTGCAGCAGCTACAGGCAACCTCTGTCTCGGGCTCCACTAATGAAGATATCAGGTCTGGAAGGGGCAGATGCAACACGCTCATCACTCAGGTCATCCTGCTGTAGGTGAGACCCAGTGCTGGGCAAGTTGGTCCAGAGTGGGTGTGACGGCTGAGGCAGTGGCTGTCTCACCACCATGGTCAGCATGCATTGCACTGAGAAGGTGACCCTGAGGAAGATTGGAAGGACACCAGCAAAGTGTCTGAGCAGGTGCTTTGCTTGAACGGGGCGACCAGTGCAAATACCCTGGGCAGGAACAAGTCTGCACACAGAGCAGGGAACCATCAGGAAGGCTGTGTCAGGGCACCATCGTCCAGCAGGCCTCACGCACACTGGAAGGCTCAGTCCTGGTTCTGAGTGAGGTGGCAGCCACAAGACAGCTCCAAGCAGAGGAGAGACATGTGTGCACCTTCTCCTGTCCAGGGACCACCCTGGCTGCTGTGTGAGGACAGGGCTGAGAGACTGTGAGGCTGGAGACAAAGCTGTAGGAGTTCCTGCTGTGTCCAGGCAGGATGTCATTCACTATGTGAGTATGGGCATGGGCAGAGTTGGAGAGATGAGGTTCTGGATCTTTCTGCAGATGGATGCACAGCACTCCCTGTGGACTGCATCCAGGGAATGAGAACAAAGAGTGAAGGAGCATACCATGGGCTTTAGGCTATACCAGTGCAGGTAGCATCGTGAGAGAAGGGCAACCTGAGAAGGTGAATTCTAAGAGGGGCCACCCAGGTTTTCAGTGCATTAGCAGTGGGAGCCAGGATGTCGGTGAGAATTGAGTGACACTGCGGGGCTGGTAGTTACCATGATTCAGCGGCTGAACAGAAATATCTGTGTGGGAGACTGCTCCGGCCAGTAGAGCCAGTAACATGGACATGGTGAGGGTCTGGGGGATGAGGCACCCACAAGAGACCAGTGATGGTGGAAGTCTCTCTCAGCCTCTCTTTATTACCCCTTATATAGTCTTTCCCCAAAGCACATTAACCAAACAACAGGATGCCAATGAGTCCCATTAGACCAAGTGCTTTTAGCTACAAGCCCATTTCCTGTAGTGTTCAACTTAAGGAGTGCTAATTTTGCAGTCAGGAGCAGAGATGGGGTACTCAGAGAGTGAGTGGCTGTGATGAGAGTGTGTGCAGGACCAAGCCCTGGACCTGCAGGGCTAAGTGGAGGCACCAAAGCCATAATCTAGCCATGCAAGGCTGAGATCACTGTGAGAACCTGGAACTTCAGATTTGCTGAGGGCATCCCATGGTCACTAGGAGGCTGGACAGCCTGGATTGGCCAGATCTGCATGTGGCTCAGGTGGTCGTGACACACCACCCCCAGAAAATACTCAGCAGCCGGAGGGGAAATAGGATTCCAACCTGGTCCTCAGCCTCCCCTGAAGGACAGTCATAATGGCACATCTGGGCCCTGGACACCACACAGTGAGGGGCCACTCTGGCAGACACCTGGGTGTAGGCGACCCAATTTTACTTAGGATCATGCAGGCTCACAAGGTGGGACACACACGCCGCCAGTTGTGAACCACACCTGCTCCAACCTCTCACTGTCCCCAGGCTGTTGTGCTGGGCAGGACCATCAAGATGCTCGGTAGGGCAGGGAGTTCCAAATCAAAGTCAGCTGTATGGTTCCCAGGGCGGCCCCACCCTCACCGGGCACCTTCCTGTTTAGCTGGGATGTCAGGGGGGAGGGGCAGTCACCGCAGGCTCAGCTAGTGATGTTTCAGCTCCCAGTGTTCACATCTGGACAGGGCACAGCAAAGATCAAAGGCGCCACGCCTGTGTTCTCTGAGAGCCCCACAATCAACCTCACTGTCACCCACACTGGAAACCATTGGGTCATGGGCAGAGAGCACCACAAGATGAGGGAGGTGTCAGAAAATTATGTTTATTTATTTGAAGATTTCTGTCATCTTTGTGAAAAGGAGAGTGCTCCCCCCATCTCCTGGCTCATTTCCCCAATTACCCACAGAGCTGGGACTAGGGCAAGCCATAGCCCAGAGCCCAGAACTCAGTCCAGCTATCCTTGTGCATCATCCTCTGCCTCCCAGGGCATGTACTGGGTGGACACTGGGCCGAAAGTGGAGCCAGGACTCCAACAGAGCACTGAGATGGGACTGGGCGTCCCAAGCTGTGTCTCCACCCTATGGAAAAATAAAGGACACAGGTGGTCAATGCCAACCAAGGACATTGGAGACATACAGTGTCCTCTCTCCTGCTGGGGCAGCCCAGGAGGAAAGTTCAGGAAGCGGCCACAGCTGAGCACACACAACCTCCCAGGATCTCCCTGGATCCTGCTGCCTCACATGGTGCAGAGCATGTATTCTCACTCCTTGGAGCCCACAGTGAAATCCAGGAGTTGCCAGTATACACTGCACCTGTCTATGTGACATGGGTCTGACAGAAGGCAGAGGACCTGGTTGAGGCTGCAAAGTCAGGAGCAGAATCCATGGCCTCACCCTGGGTGGTCCTAACCCTGCATCTGAGGAACCACAGCCCTGCTGCTGGGCATAGAGGGCACAGCTCATATCCCTGACCTGACTCTGGCCCCAAGTCTGCATCAGGATTGCTACCCCACTGCTTCTGATTTTTACATTAGAGATGCCTAGGGGTGCTGATTTTGCAGCTCTGAGGTGTGACAGAAATGCTTCTGTTGGGACACGGCATGGTGTCCCAGTGGCCAAGTCCTCACCTTACACATGCTGGGATCTCATAGGGTCTCTGGTTCATGTTCTAGCTGCTCCACTTCCCAGCCAGCTCCCTGATTGAGTCCTAGAAAAGCAGAGGAGGACAGCCCAAAGCCTTGGGACTCTGCATCTGAGTGGGAGACTGAATAAGCTCCTGGCTCCCGGCTCCACATCAGCTCAGCTATGGCCATTGTGGCCACTTAGGGAGTGAACCAGCTGATGGAAGATATTTCTCTCTGATTCTCCTTTTTTTTCCTCCTGTAAGATCTGAGTCTCCAATAAAAATAAATAAACCTGTTTTTAGAAATGATAAAAGGAGACTTCACTGCTAATTCCAGAGAAGCACAAAGGGTCATAAGAAACTGACTACTCTACTAATCCAGCTCCCTGCTAGTGGCCTGAGAAAGTAGCAAAAGATGGCACAAGTACTGTGTGCTTCGCCCGCATGAGAGACGCAGAATGTATTCTGGGCTTCTGGCTTTAGCCCAGCCCAGCCCTCATGTTGTAGCCATTTGTGGAGTGAACCAGTGGTTAGATTTCTGTGTCCTGTCTCTCCTTCTCTCTCTCCCTCTCTCTCTCACTCTACCTTTGTCAGTCTTCTCTCAAATAAATTGCTTGTTCTAAAACTATCCCAGCATATCGTTAAGTGGGGTATCTATCTGAGGTAAGTGCGTGAGGATCCCAGGGTGCTCACAGCTGGGGTTGGAGCCCTTCCGCAGGGGGGTCTGGCTGAGGAGGATTTCCCTCTCACCTTCATCTGCCTGTGAGAATGAGGCTCCTCACCACAGTCCCCAGTGCTACAGATACCCTGGGGCATCATAACACATGCACCTGCCAGTGCCCACTGTGGGCCCTCCCAGCCCAAGCAGAGGAACTAACACAGGAACTAACACTCAGGCAGTACCTGAGACAACAGCACCAAGGGCACTGCACCCTCATGTCTCCAAGTGGTGGGCCAATAAGATGCAGAACTGCAGCAGGACAATGCACATCCCTCTTTTCCCTTCCTCCTCTGATGACTGCTGAGCTCATGACCAGTCAGAGTGTCCACTCAGACAGATCACTATCACTCCCTGGGAGTTCAGACAGCCTGAGAGAGTGGCTGAGGTTACACAGTCCCCACCTGCAGTCAGCAAGACCAGAGGGGAATCCTGACCCAGAAGGTGAAGGTGTGGTGACCAAGGGCTACAGGCTAGTGGGCTTCCTGCTGATGACAGACACCAGGAGCTCTTCACATGATGCAGCCCATGATGGCTGCAGATGGACACTCGGGGGCTCTGAGAAACACACTGAGTGTAAGACAGGGAGCCAAGGCTAAGGTCAGCTCAGGTGTTGGTCCACTCCTGCTGCAGGCAGAGATCCCAGCCCAGCTCAGGCCACATCACAAGGGACCCTGGATTTTTCTGCCACCACTGCCTGGCCTGGGTGGGGTCTGCCCCTAGGAGAAGTCAGGCCAGCAGACAGGAAGGACAGATCTGCTCCCCTCCCACACAGGCTAAGCCAGCAGTGGCAGCTGCTGGGCTGCTCCCTGCCTGGGCCCGCCACCACTGTATGCAACGGGGCCGCTGCTCAAGTTTCAGATCTGTTTCCTTAGGGTATCGGCAGGTGTTTGAGGAGTACATGTAGGTTATTAGCCAGTGGTACCCAGAAATCCTAATTGAAGGAGAGAATTTTTAAAATTTTTATTTTATATCATTTTATGACATAGTTTCACAGGTTCCGGGATTCCCTCCAGCCCGTTCCCAAGCCTTCCCCCCACATTGAATTCCTCCATATTGTTTTTTTAAAAATATTTATTTATTTCTATTACAAAGTCAGATATACAGAGAGAAGGAGGAGATACAGAGAGGAAGATCTTCCGTCCGATGATTCACTCGCCAAGTGAGCGCAACAGCCAGTACTTTGCCAATCTGAAGCCAGGAGCCAGGAACCTCCTCCAGGTCTCCCACACAGGTGGGCTTTGGGCCATCCTTGACTGCTTTCCCAGCCACAAGCAGGGAGCTGGATGGGAAGCTGGGCTGTCAGGATTAGAACCGGCGCCCATAGGCAATTCCAGCGCATTCAAGGCGAGGACTTTAGCCACTAGGCCATATCACCAGGCCCCAAATCCTCCATATTGTTACAGTAGTACAGATCATATCCAGTCATTATTCCTTCATTGCATGTATGGACCATGTGGAGAGCCCAGCTTCTTATTGTTGAAGGAAAGAATTATCTCCTTCGGGCCCAGCGCGGTGGCGCAGTGGTTAAGGTCCTCGCCTTGCACGTCCGGGATCATAGTCCCACTGCACGGCACTGGAAATGCTTTCACATTAAGGGATTTTACAAGAGCAATATGACTAAAGACAGCAAGGTGTATACAGACCAGATGCTTTTTTCACTGGCTCGTTGACCTCTTCGGAAACCTCAATGCAAGATAGATTTTCAGAGCTAGCACATTTTGGAATTCTGCACATTTCGCAAAGTGCAATAGTACTGCATAATTTTCTCCCTATCTTAAATTTATCTAGTTAATAAGTGTTGTTTTTTAAATGTAGACATTATTAATTTTCTTAGTCATATTTGAAAAAGAAAATTGAGTAAATTTGACTTATTCTCAAAGATACCTGTTACATCTGCTGTGCTTTTATATTAATTTGTTATGGTTTGAAAAAAATCAGTCTGTTTGGGAACATAGCTGAAACTCCCAAGTACTTTACAAAGAGTTCAACTAGACATCTTTAATTTGGTCATTCAAATTTATGCAGTTTTCAAAATACTGCAGATTGTGAACAGTGCTTATTATACAAGGCTATAGAGGAAAATCTAATATCCAAAGTACTCTACCAATGTGTGTGTGTGTGTGTTTACCAGAGAACTACTATAATATCAACTGCTTTTTAAGCCATGTTATATAATTCAAGCATCTTGCCTTGACCAGTCTAATGAGTTGATTAACTGGCCTTTCTACTTAACTAAATAAAAAACTAAGCAGATGTCAGTTAAATAAAAAAAGTTTGAATTTGTTGCTCAGTATACCTGTTAACGTATTATTTAGCAACCGTATCTCCTATTTTTTGTTTTCACTATCAGATAATTTCATAAGGCACACACTCTAGGATCACTCCCCATTTTTAGGATAGTTGAAATTCACTCAGTTGAATCTTTGCAACATTAATATTAATTGAATAGAGATCACCTGTCTGATAGTTTAATTTGTTGAATATTTTAGAACTATATTTGAGGAACATAATTGGAAAAATTTTAATATTATCTACAGTTCTAAAAAGGCAGTTTAAACAAAGTTAAGCTGATGAACTGTAAGAATAACTTAGCAGAAATAAGACCATAGTGTGGAAAAACAGTCATATTGCATCAGTGCAACATACAACTTTAAATTTGGAATACAGTGGTAAGGCCAGTGGTAGGCGTAGGTGTGTTAGAAATAAAGGGACTGAAGGCAACATGACGTCATTCAGCCTTGGTTTCGCCTAACACGTAGCTGTTTTTAAGACCTTATTTGAGGATATTTCAATGATTCATGGAACATGGAGTTAAAAGTAGGTTTATTTGGATATAAAAAAATTAAAATCTATACATTTGAAGAATCTTCAAAATTAGTGCAAATGCATATTATGGAAAAGCTATGCACAGATTAATTTTTACACCAAAATAAACATCTTTAATCCTGTTTTCCATTAACTGTTTGAAATATTTTTTGGACTTACATGTTGTACACCTAATGTACCATTCTGGAAGCTGGTCTGACAGTTCACTCCACAAACTCATTAAGGATTATCCTTTTTGTTAATAATAATTTAGATTATCTGTTAACAACATCGACTTCTTAATGTAGTGAAATGAAGTATTACGATTTAAGGTCAAATTTCCTTAAAGATTATCATTAGTTATCTCTGAGAAAGCTTAAAATTACCTTTGTTAGTTAGACACTCCAAACTCCTCATCTTGTGCAAGTTGGAATGTCTTGCTGAATCTTTCCAGGGATCTGTCCATAGAACATGCCAGCAGGTTGGCTAATGTTATTGGATTTTTTAGTATAATTGCCATTATGGAAGAAATTGTTCATCATGCTAATAAAAATGCTAGTAAAACATGGCTTTATACCTCAGTGTGTAAAATCTGTAAGACAAGTATGCTTTGGGAATATAAATTGCATTATTTGCTTAAGGCAATAGGATTCTTATTTTGAATGTTAGTTTGGAACTTTGATTAACTGGCCAACATTCCATTAATTCATATTTTAACATTAGCCCTCAGGATTTTTAAACATGGTTTGATACTCTGAAGCTTTAG